AAAAATTCCTGGATCCGCCCATGGTAAGTAAGCTTTACAACTAGTTACTGGCCTAGCAAGGAAATCTACTTGTCCCGGACTACTAAAAGGCACTTTTTTCAAGCCCTGATTTACATTGATTCTCTGCACACACCAACAAGACACATTTTTATCGCCAAAGATCGATTTATTATCTATATATTCTCCTGTCAATAAAAACCAAGGAAAATGTAGGAATGAGTAGCGTGCTCACAGGTCTCACAGCAATCTATGAATTATTTGTTTCCCTCCTCCATGTCTTCAACACGGTACTTGTCATGAAGACGCTGGAAAACTGTGTCCTTGTTTGATTTTCAGTTTCCCACGTTTCTTCGACCACTGACCTGTTGGCTAAATAAAGAAATAAAGTTTACTTACAGAAAATATTTGACCTGGGGATGTGTGAATTAGACTTTAGAGGAGTAGTGGAATTTCATTTCGAAACTGTTGGTTGCATTGTCGGTTGTTTGACTACGGCGATATGTATTAAGATTAAAAAGTCCTTAACTTGAACATATATTAATATCTTAATTGAATATGAAAGTGAAGAATGATCATCGCATTAAACTTTCCAATTTAAGCAATTGGAAAGAAGAAGCCTGAAAAAAAAAAATTAGGGCTTCAACGGGATTCGAACCCGTGACCTCCCCGTTGCCGGTGCGTTGCTCTACCAACTGAGCTATGAAGCCACACAATGGGAGCGAGGTCAATTTATTGAGTTCGTATCTCCCGTGAGGAGTGAAATGATGTAAAGTATATATATGAAAAAAAATGAATTATTTCATATATACTTTACATCATTAATTGAATATATTTACATTTATCTTGCCTGCGCTCCTATGCTAAGTAATGGAGAAATCTGGCGGCCTCTTCCGAGTGTCAGATACAGGCCCGAGAAACTATGGGCTGGGATGGGGTGGGAATAAAGAAAAACAAACCATCCAAAAGAGGTGCCATGAAGTGGAGAGCGGGCAAGGCGAGGTGCCTGGCCATAACAACAACCTGTGTGTCTTGTCTCGAAGATGATAATGAATGCATGGTGTATGTGTCTTATATAGTCGCTTGGGCAAGACCGCTGTAATAGCAAATCTATAATAAAAGATGTTTTAGAGGTTACGTTCTACAGTTCAGCTTACCTTTCTTAAATTTAGGAAATACTTCCACCTCTACATCATGATTAACCAGCACAGACAGGGGTAGTATTTGGTCTAAGACTGCCCAAAATGACCGCAAAACAGCTTGATTGGGTGATCACCGTATTTGGATCGGAACCAAATACGTCATTGGTGACGCAAATTTTTGAAACAAAACAGTCACGCGATTCACGATCCCCTGTTTGAGCGGGTGGAATTTCAGTGAAACTTCGATTTTCTGTAAGCATGGTCTAGTGAAGCTTTATGTAACCACATAATGAGATACATCCTCACAACTGATAATACTTGCTAGAACAACATTCCTCTCACAGATAGGCGGTGGAATTTTATAGAAGAAGTGAAAACTCTACCTCCGGTTTTATGATTATTGCTAATCTGAGTTCCTGAATATGTCCGTTATGACGAAAAGAAGCTTCTTTATGGTCATAAAATTTTAAATTGATCAAACATTACTAGATAAGCATTTCCACATCATTCTTAACACTACCTGGAGCTGATCAAATAAGCTCATATTTACCTGTTTACGGGAATGTTTATTTTTAAACCCACCAATGTGGTGTTAGTGGTCGGTTCATGTCGACCCCAGCAGGCAATCTCGCTTCAATCGTCTCACTTGACTTTTCCATGTTGGAGATAAAAGTGAGGACTCTCTGTGATAGCCTTTTCAGCTGGAGGAAAGGACTGTAGCCTGAGTATTCGGTGTTTCTGTGGGAAATGAAGAGAGAAGTGAAAAGGAAGAGAGCGGAACGAAACAAAAAGCCTTTCTGTCAGTATATTGAGTCTCTATTCCCCCTAGCCTTCCACGCAGACGTTCTTAGGGGTTCGTCACGCGTTGCTGCCCCCTACCCCTCTCAAATCCCTTAGAACGTCTGCGTGGGAGGCTATATTCTTACTCCCCCGCTCCCGCTCATCTAAAATTTCCTCTCCCCTCACTGCCTAAGGCAGGCCTGATGCTCAGGTTAAAAGGACTAGGAAGAAAATTCATTTTGACGAGGGAAGGTCTTGTAATGTCCAGAAGAAGTCGGTTTCTGAGCTCATAGGAACTGATTTTCTAGTTTGGAGATTCTTCAGGAGCGAGAAGTCCATGAAGGTCAGCTGAAATACATAAAACTGAAAGAAAAGCAAGATTTCAAATACCATGAAACCTTTTTATGGCTAATATCAATTTGCATTTTTGACGGTTGACGTTAAATTTTAGGCCGTTTGACGGCTGACGGTTATAATCCCACTGAGACCCTCTTTTAATATTATAAATGCTACATGTAGGATGTAGCATGGCGAGAAGACTTCCTGTTAGTACGTATGTGAAAAGGCACCATTATTTTTCAGTGATAGGAAAAAGGTGTAAGCCGAGAGATTTTCCATGAATTCTTTATTTGCCTTGAATTTCGTATATAGCTTTCAAATGTTCGCTTTGACGTTGTTTTCAGTAATTCATATTGAATTTACATAAATTAGTTTTAGCTCCGCAAAAAGGCTCGTGCCATTTTTATTATATTATCCTTTGTTTCATTTGCTTTGTGTTCGCTAGGTAATAATCATAGAAAAGCCAAAAGTGTTACGTAGTGTTCCTTAACAAACAAAACTAATTGCTCGTTCTCTTTTCAATTATATACATTTTACGTCAATGTTGACTCTTGAAAGAATATTTAATTTCTTAATAATGGTTTATTTGACTTTAGTCTATTTTTCGTGATTTTACTACCAGGCGACATTTATTCATAGAAACGCCTTTTGTGCAGGTGCATCTCATTTTAACTGCAACTTAGTTATATTTATTTGCGAAAACGTATTTCATTAAGTTGTTAGTTAAAGAGAGGTCTGAATAACCGAATTTTGAATATGAAAGGTTTTGCGGTCTTGCAATTTTAAAATTAGATCGGTTTTTGTTTAAGGTGAAAACTAGTCTGCGCTTCTTCTGTTTAAACAGCCGATAGCTGAACTTGCAATTTAATTCATATTGTAACACTTTGTACATAATACGCTGTTTTGCTGCCTTGGCTAGGTCTTTGTCTCAGTACTTTTACTTTCTAAAATAGCAACAGTAACAAAAGATTTCAGGTTAAAAATAGAATTTGTATTTAGTTTTCATTTGACCGTAAGTGATTTTTTTTTATATTTCTATCAGTGTATTCTTTTGTCTTCAATGGTTGTAAAAATCATATATAAGTAAGTTAGTTTTTACTGATTACCGATTATTTCGCCGTGTCCTAGCCGAGTTATTGCTGTTTGATCCGCTGAAGAATAAACGCTGTTGGAACCTAGTTTAGTTCTGTTTTATCTACTGCTGTACCAGTTAGTGATCAGATTCCGGTCCTACAGAGAAGTGACGACTCTTCCCCGCAAGCGAGTCGCCATTTGAGTCTAGTTTTCCCCAGTTTTATCATGAGTCAAGCACTGAGTTCCTGTTGAGCCTTAAATTCGTTTCAAAGTGGAAAAGCCTTCCGTCACAAAGGGGATCCTAATCTGTCAAAAATGGTATATAAAGGGGTAAGGGGTTGGATCTCGGGGCGGAGCTTACCCGCATAAAACTTTGAGGAGTAGGCTGCCCCGTCCCCTGGGAGAGGGCTTCTTGCTACGTGTAAGCAGGGTTTCATGCCGGAGTTTTCGTTGTCTTCGCACCTTCACTCTTTCCTTCTCGCTCCCCGACAACAAAGCCCTTGCTGGTACAGTTTATGAATCACTGAAATTTGTCCATACAAAAGGGAGGCAAATCCTGTTTTCCAACAAAACAACCAAACCAATAAAAAAAAACAGCTTTCATCCCCAGTTTTTCTTTACTGAATACAACTGAACGTTCTACAGTCATCTAAAACCATTCAATTGTCGTTTCTTTATAGGGGTAACTCTAGGCCATTTATAAGTGCTTACCATGCGGTCAATCTGCCTTCTTTTCCTTCAAGCTGTGTTCATTGGTTTTGCCCGACACACCAAAGTAACTGCGAAGAGGCATTGCCCCAAGTTTACTTCTTGTATTGACACCTATGCTGACATTTATAAATCCCTAGCATCAGAGGACAACAGTTTCAACATTGAATCTGCGCTGCATCCAGCAATGACGCCATCATCACTTGTAGTTAAAGTAGAGTTCATTACACACAATGAAACATCAGTGGCAAATTACACTTGGAATTTAAACTGTTTATATGTTGCTATTCCTCCTCAAGTCCTCCTGCTCTTGTCGCTTGGGTCCGTTCTTGTTACACCACGCACACAAGAGCTGAAAATCTGCATCCCCGATTTCTGTAGAAATATTACATCGACCAAGGAGCAGAAAGACCTCATGACAGGTGTTCTCTCTGCGGTACGCAACTGTATGTCTACTATTCTGTAATAGTTTACACTAATTACAGGAGTGACAGAGAAACCGAGATTATACAATTTAAAGAGGATTAATCAAAGTCATAAAGAATCCATACTCTTACAAAAAATTCTTACACTTTAGGAGCCAACACCAAGAGGAATTATTGTTGGAGCAAGAATTTGTCAAATCCAGTCTTGTAAAAGTTTTAAAAAGGCAGAGACGTAGATTTTATGTCGCATTTCGGAAGTGTCAAACAAGTTTTGACACTTTTTTTTTCAATTTAAGAAAAGAGTCGTGTAACTCCTTTATTACAAAATGATGACCAAATCTATGAATCACCTTGTTCAGTCATTAAAATGAAAATAAGGGTGTTTTCTGCAGAGTATCAGTGTTGCTATACAAACCACTAAGGTCTAGACTGACCATAAATTGTTCTCCAATTTGAAACTGGGTGTTGAATATTTTATTGTTGCATTAACTAGTAAAAAAGTGGCAATGTGTTGATACTAAAAAGTGTTTGTTCACCCAGTCCGGTCTCTATCGTATTATGCAAATATTGATCATATTAAACATGTTTCTTTTCCTCAGCTTCAAGATCTGGCCGTGCGTCCAGGAGTGCGGGATCCAAGACTTAACACAGTAGAGTGCGTTATAGAGGGACATGAAACAGACATCTTGGCTACAGGACAGAGTTCGTACATAAGGGCAATTTTATGGTGCGCTTTTATTTTTTCATTCTGGGCTGGTCCTTATTTAGCGGAAATTATTTTAGGTGTAATAGATCAGAGATCCCAAGGTCCCCAAAGTCCAACTGCAACCTCATCCGCCGGGACGGGGCAAGTTGAAATTGATATGGAACTCCTTGATTCCCAGGCTCCCACTTCCCCGGGCCCGGGAGAAAATATTTCGGAGCCCCTGATAAGGGCAGTAGTTTGCGTATGTTGTTTATTGCTTTGTGTAGAAATTATAATATTAGGCTTTATATTCAAATTTTCTGTATCAGGAAATGCCCCAATTGATGTTTACATATATATTGGGATCCTTATTTTGGAAGGTGTGATATTAACTTGCTTAAAAAAATGCCCTTCGAAAAGAGTGTTTATATCAACATTTTGTCTAATCTTTACATCCCATCATTTTTGTTGGCTGGTGATCGGCATTATGATAAATCCAGTGTGGGGACTAACGGTTTTACTCCTAGCTTGCTTTTCTGTCGTCTTGTTAACTTTCCTACTCTGCCGGTTTTTTGGGGGAGGCAATTTCAAATGCAGTCGAGACGACATCATGCAAATCATGGTATGTGGTGCTACCTTTTGTGGTGGTCTCTCGCTTGTTGCGTCAGCAGTTTTAGCGGGACAGTCGTGTTATGGAAGGGGGACTGCGGACGAGCTGGTGAAAACTGTAGTGTTGTCTGTTATCAGCCTTGGTACTTCACTGTTGTCTTGGCTGAGTAAAAAACGTTAGGAAAAAGAGGAAAATGCTGCTCAATAACTCTAAAACATAAAATAGAGGAATATTTCCAAGCAGATAGCGCCGTCCGTTCTGCCAGCCTGCGAGCAAGCTCTCCATTTGCCATGGGATGAGTCGTGAAAATTCACGCGCGGCTTCGCGGCTCGCTTTGCTTGCTACAAGTGGAGAGCTTATTCGACTCGGGGCTTCCGTTCTGCGCATTTTGAGTAGCCCTAGGAAACTCGGATATTTAAATGATGCCTCCTCTTTTTACAAAGCATGTCCACTCGGCAAGAAGCAAAGGTTAATGACATCTAAACACAGTCGAAACCTCCGTAAGCGACCAACCAAAGCGCAAACCTTCACCGAAGGGTCTCTTCAAGGAATAGGTACCGAACACTTCAAAGGCAATTTATCGAATACAATATTTTGGAAGTTACAATCCGTGCAGTACCATTCTGTCACTTACTCTAGTTAGTGATAGTAACATCAACTGCGAAAACATAGATGGGACCTCTTGACAAGTGGTTACTAGCGATAAAAAGCAATGGAACTGTCGCGGTCGTTTACAAGAGGCAACAAGTATAAAGCCTTAAAACGAAAATTTTGGTGTTTTGTGGTCGCTTACAGAGGGGTAACGGCGAACTGTTTAGAGATAACCTACTTGAATCTTTTTCAGTTTATGGCGATTCAACCTAACAAGTTGATGGAAAAAAGACTTGTTAATGATAAATAACTTGGTTTGAGCAGTCTTAATTCAATAACCTATCTTATTTACGAAACAATAACTTACTGCAACAGAGCTTGTTTCTATTCGATCACTGTATAGATCTGAATGAGAACGGGCAATTATTTTAACATGGCTTATGACCTTGTTTAAAGAGTAAATTCTGGAGTTAACCATAAAAATTTTCAGCATTTTTTCTAATATTGTCTTTATTAGTTTGTCAGGTGAAGATCCAAACTGGTTTTCACTGAGACAACAAATGCACAATTATTAACAATTATTCCTCGAGCCCGAATGGGCTCTGAGTCAATAGCGCATGAGGCCGAAGGCCGAATGGGCTATTGACTCAGAGGCCATGAGGGCGAGAGGAATAATTGTTTTAGCAAAATCTAACTAGTTGGTCAAAAATATCGAGAATAAAAACATTTTAGCTAGTTAAAGCTGGACTTTAATCCTTTTTTGCCGCCAAAAAGCCCGCGCTTTTCGCTACTAGTGGGCTGTAACATATAGCCTAGAAGTAGCTCAACCAATCAGAACGCAGCATTGATAATAGACCACTAGCTGGATTTTACTAAAACGTTTTATACTATACATGTGAAAATAACAGACACTTTCAGATCGGGGAAGTTGGAATTTTCAGAGTTTTCAACCTTTGCAAGGGGGTGTTCATTAGAACAGAGGAAGGCCTTTTTTAGTTTATATCGTAACTGTATGTTATAGACGCTGGCAGTTTCTTAATGTGATTAATAGTTTGTATTAGCTCGTAGATGGAAAATAAAGGTTCTACTTTATTTCAGTTGTTTCTTTGAACTTTAATTTCACATAAACTGCCAGGTATACAAGCCTGTAGGTTGCAGAGATATACCGAATGACTTCACTACCGACTTCGAGCAACTTAAACAAGCTAACATCTACCTACCTATCTATCTAACCGGAACATCAAAATGTTCTTTTACAGAAGCAACGTTTCATTAGATGAGCAAGAATGTCAGGCAAATTTTAAGAAAAATTGGCGGAATTGATTCCTTTTTCTTGAGATTAGAATTCAATAAAAAATCAGTTAAATGTAAAAGTGGTAGCTCAATTCCTTCTATTTTAGTTTTCTTCAACAGTAAAAAGTTTTTCTTGGTTTAAATTTCGCTATTGAATGACTGTTTTATATTAAACTGTTAAAATGTCATCACATTTTGAGAACGTTATGGACAAGACGCTTTTGAAAGCGTTCAGTTAAGCGGAGTGTATCTCAAAGACAGAAAAACTTGACAGTAAACAAAAAAAATGTCAAGGCAAACACGAGATTAAGGCTAAGAAGTGCTATGCAAGTTACATAAAAGAATTTTTACTACGGGTTTCTAGTAAGATCTAAGACGTCGTGAGCAAAACGTTTCATGGGAAGATGCGCCAGCGAGCTGCAAAGATGCGAGGAGTGGAGGAAAGGACGGTTTCCAGCCATCACCTTTTTCTGCAGCGGCTTCCATAACGTTTTTCAGGTCATCCTTTGACGAATCCAGTGGAAAACAAATCCGACGATTCCATAGTTTACTATTTATAGGTAGTTTGTCTACGTAGGAAAGGATAGCTCTTACTGCGCGACCAAGTGAATTGTACGACAGATCCTGTTCTTGAAATTACGAGTAAAATCGAAATCTTTCCAGAGGAAGACGCAAACCATATCCATCCTTGGTCATGTCATGAAGAATACGCGTTTTCAAATGGAAGAAGCGAAAGCTCTCGGTTAGTAGAGCAAAAGAACTAACCACTCACAAACGTACGAAACAAATTTCTCTAAAGGCAATACTTTGTTAAATCCTCCAGTGTCTTTTCTCCAGTGAGCTTTTGAAGGAAGTCATTTTTGGTAGTGCTTCATCGAGAGCAGCAGCGTCTGATTCGGTGAGGGCGATATTGTTCAACGACACTTCGCCCAGACTCTCGGGCGAGATACTTTCTATAATTGCCATCACTGTTTCAGTAGTTATAAAAGGCAAGTTAATTTTAAGACACAGGTTTTTTTCACCTCCTAAGACGTCATAAGCAACATTCACATCTTCCGCATTTGCATCTTTCGTGATGGTCAAGGACAACTTCCCGGGAAACACCATTTGTACCAGAAAATCAACTATGTAGCCACAATTTCCCTTATAGCGAATTTCTTGCAAGCGTTTACTATTTCTAACCACGGCACCAAATTCTTGAAGCAATTCTCTGTTCTCAAGGGAAACACCGCTTAGAACTGATATAAATTCTAAACGTGATAGGCTTGAACACAAATTTGGAGAAGGAGATTGATCAGATTCGGCAGCCACGGCTTCAGTAAACATACTGATATGCGTATCACATTTAAGTCTCAAGTATGTGATGTATAACGTCACTCTACCATCGCGGCAACAAAGAATGGAATTGAAAGTGCACCGCTTGTTACACCCACAATTCAGAAACCTTGCTAAAAAGTCTCCTAGTTTCATCACTTTCGAATTCCTAACAAGTCTCAGGGGGATATTCAAAAGATGAAGAAATTTAACCGATTCATATAGACAAACTACTGTGTCCTTTACCCCCGTGACACCCTTTAACAACACAAACATGTATTTACCATCCCCGATACGATCACCACAAAAAAAGAAAGCCCAAGGGAAAGTTGGTTCCTGAGTCAAAATTTGCGGCTTGAGTAGTAGATCAAGATTAACTGCTCTCCTATTCAGGAGGATGATTCCTCTGGTGCAACCAAAGACATACTTTATAAGTTCGGGCTCCAGTGAACTTTCTTGATAGCAAGTTAGGACAAGGTCACTGAATCGTATATGCTCCTTGGTGATGCCAGTAAACGGTAGGTCTGTTTCGATGTCTTCAACTGGCATTAACACTGATAAGTCTACTGAAGTGTTATTGGCAGGAACAATAGATAAATGCGTCAGCACTTTTACCGCTCCATCCTTGGACAAACCGCACACGAACTGGAAAACATTTACCATTGACTCACAATCCTCTAAAGTGGCGAAATGCTTTTCAAGTCCCCCGAGAGTACCCTGGGGAACACATCTGTAAGCGATAAACCACGCTGCTAAATACTCTTGAATTGATTTGTGTATAAAGGACACTATCTCCGTTGGTTCCAGACTTCCTTCGTTCTCAGATAATTGTAAGAGGCCCACCATAACACTTTCTTCACCACGTACTTCCTCAGACAGCTGACCATATTCAAACACCTGACTGCCCTTCAGAAGACTTTCCAATGCCACTTTTCCTATTTCAGCAAGAATCTCTCGGTAATCTTCCTCTTTTACTTTGGAGACTTTTGCAGGAGAAAGCCTCTTGTTGCTGTACTGCAAGATGTATTGGATGATAGCTCGATATAATGGAGTTTTTCTCTTGCCAAGTTCCATCAGTTTCTCCTTTTCTTGTCTGAACAACAAGCAAAAAAAGAGATTTAGAAGTGGCACTCTTGCAAGGTCCAACACTTCCTTAACCTGCAAGAACCTTTGTAGTTCAGACATCACCGAGCTGTCCCTATCTAGCATCTTCTCCATGAAAGCCAGTTGGTCTCCTCTATCAAACCCGGTGACCTCAGCGTGTTTGTCGGCACCGAATTCTTGTAGTTCACCGGCTCTTGAAGATCTCGTGGTTACTAAGACAGAACAGTCTCTAAGCTCATTTCCGCGGAAAATTTCACAAATAGGAGAGGTGCTTCTTGGTCCAAACTGGGTTTCTGCTACGCTTCCAGTGCGATACTCGTCGTAGCCATCAAATACCAATAGAACTTTCTCTTGGTTGTTACAAACGTACGTCAAGAGATCATCTGTTAAAGATTCCTCGTCCCTGGGAATCAGACGAGCACAGCTTAAAACTTCCCTGAATGTTTGGCATTTAGAAACATGTTTCAAAGGAACAACAATAACAAGCTGGAACTTCTCCAGGGCATCAAAACGACTGTCCCGGCCATCACCCTGTTTTCTTGTTTCGTTGCTCTCGGCCTGGCTGAAGCCCATGTGATCTTCACGTGATGGCTTCTCACCCCCTCCGCACTTACTTGAAGCAGCCATTTCTTCGTTTACAACGTCCTTACCTCCAACGATTTTAGCCCAATCCAACGCTAGCTTTTTAACAAATGTGCTCTTTCCGATTCCCGTCTCCCCTTGCACGAGTATTCTCTTAGGCACAACACCGTTCTCGTCTGCTGTGAATAGTTCACCGTAATCTGTCAGTTTAGACTGTGATGTCCCAGTTGGGGTTTGTTCTTTTTTCACCCATGACAGTCGAGTATAGATCTGGTCAAGTTTCACCTGACAAACCGAAGACCAAACAGATGTGGGGACCTTGGCTGTCCGCTTGTAGTAATCAGCAAGCTTACTGCGACAGGCTTCCATATCAGACGTTTTCACATGACTGACTTCTGGTAATGGACAGAAAAACATTAGTAAGTTAATACATACGAAATTGCGCTGATCAAAATAAGTTTTATATCCTTTCTTCAATTTTTTGAGGGTTTAGGAACGATAAATAAATAATAATAATTTGGAGGTAGCACATCCACAAAGTGGTTCTTCGTCTACCTGAATCCTGGTCGAATTGGAATTTGGAAATTTTGGTTTTTGAGGAGAGGGAAAACCGGAGCACCCGGAGAAAAACTTCTCGGAGCAAAGAAGAGAACCAACAACAAACGAACGATTAGCCTGCGTAGCCACGTTATCTAACGTCAGCTAGTAACGTCTACGAAGCAGCGCCAAGGTCCTTGTTCTGGGCCCCTACAGACTCGACGAATTACCGGAAGTGCGTTTCGAATTTCTCTTCAACCTGATTAGCCTATCGAACAATATATTTTTTTGACAGGCCAATCATGCTGGGTACTCAAACGGGTGGGCGCCCAGAACAAGGATTTTGGCGCTGGCTTGCAGACGGACTTCAGTAGCCTGCGTAGGAGGCGTCGAAAGGGGTAGGGGATAGGAAAAAAGGGGAAAAGGGAGGGGGGTAGGGGAGAGAGGGGAAGGGACCCTTCCCTTTCCCCTCTTTCGTGCTTTTCTCCCTCCCCCTCTCCCTCCCCCTTTTGGGCCTGCCTCTAGACTTCAGAGGTTTAGTTTCGTCTGTGGTAAAAACTATCCTTGTGAAGTTTATGTCAAACATGGTCCAGGTTTGTGACCCAGAAGTGCCGACATACATGACTGAACGTCGAGTTTGCTGCTTGTTCTCACCCTTGGTCCGAGAGGTTTTCTCTGGGTACTCTGTTTTTCCCCTCTCCTCAAACGCCAACATTTCAAATTACAATTTCCTCCAGAAATGGTAGAATAAGAACCACTTTTTAAATTAAAATTTGTTGATGTGCTACCTATTGGTATTTATTTTAACTTATCAAATTTATTTTATGAGACAATACCAACAAGTGATTACCATTCAACATTAAATTTTATCAGTATAAATAAATACCGAAAGTGGATAGCTGTAGCGTCATATTCTTAACATCTAGCTACAAAAAATATTTTGAATATGTTGCTGTTTGTTCATTTTCCCCTTTCTGATACAGTGATAACACTAGACTGTACAACTCTGAACGTACTATTTTCCCACGTGTCAAAGCTTTTCAAATCTAAAGCAACAGGCTTAGACAAAATCTCTGCTAGGCTTTTCTGTATTTGACCCAATTTGATATCGGAATCTGTGTGTGTGATCTTCAACTAATGGAGATGCATGAAAATTATTTCTTCGTTCAAACAAGGTGCACGTAATTATCGCCGATTTCAATTATCCCAGTGACAACCAAAGCGTTCAACAGAATAGTGCATAACGAAGCCTACAATTACAGTGTATCTTATATGGAGAACAATTTGCTATCTTGTAGTCAATCGTGGTTTCAAAGTCTTCACTCTACTGTGACTGCTCTCCTTGAGGCCACCAATAACAGGGCATATAATATCGACCTCTGCAAGGTTAATGCAGTAGTTTTTCTAGTTTTAAAGAAACCCCTGGATACGGTTGAACACGAGATCCTGCTATCAAAACTCGATGCTTACGGTTTTGGAAGGTCTGCGAGCAATTGGTTTAGGTGTCATTACTTATTACTTAGTGTCACCTTCTATTCACTAAGAGACACTGAGAGCAAACTGGCTGTTCCTCAGCTCAACACAAGCTACCTAAAAAATAGCTTTGGCTATAAGGATGCGGTGATGTGAAATAGCTTCCCTATAGCACGATAACGTCATTTTACTACAACTCCCAAACTCCTTTAGTGTGTTGTTTTCTTATGCAAATCAAGGCTATTGTTTTTTAACAATCAGTAGGATTGACAAATTAAATAAGAAAGCAAAAACAAAATGAATTCTGGTAGTTGTAGTCAAATGTCATCATCGTGAAAATGGCCTGTTGAGTTGCAGCAGGGAGATACTGTGTGCACAGTTTTAAAGTGGGCAGCCAATTTTAATCTAATAGTTAAGTTTTTGTTTTAAGTTACAGGCATGGCTCTATGGAAAGCAGGCATATATGTTATACACATTTATCTATTTTCTTTCATTAAAAACTATATGTCCACAAAATGAAAAGTAGCTACATAAAGTTATAGCAATACTATTTATTTATATATATTTGTCTTATTTTATAAGTATGTGATATATTACTAAATAAAGATATTGTTGTTGTACCTTTATCATGGGGAACTACTTTGCCTGAATCTGAAGCTTCACTCCCTGCAGCACCAACATTTTTACTTGCCTTGTACACATGAGCACTAGCTGATGCACCTTGAGAATGAAGAAAATATCAATCAGAAACATACCACAATTGAGATTACACCATTTACGTTTTCAAGTTTATAGATTAGTGTCACATCATAACTGCACCTGAAGGAATCGCTAAATTTCAAAAACATATTAACCAATTTTTCATTTTATTTTTAGTAACATATCATATTTCTGTACAGTACCTTGGTCATAATGAACTTCATTGCTTGAATTTAAAACTTCACCCCCAGCACCAGGATCAGCACCTTGCACAGCATTATAAGATGCACCTGAAAAATGAGACAAGATATCAGCCAGCATTCCAACAGTGACTGGTACAAGTCCTAACTAATTCCTCTCCAGTACTGTTTTCACATGATACTATTTATTATGCTGTATAAATTGGTTCTAACTAATGTATGTTGGTAAGGAACAGTTTTAACATTAACATGCTTACCAGCACAAGTGAAGTGCTGAATGAAAAATAACATAACTGTTTTGCTATTATATTTTGAGAACAAGGGCGGTGCAGTGGGGAAACCAACTTGTTACTGGTTCACGTTTTTGTTCCAACAGATTTTGTGAAGGTACTCTGGTTTTTGCCTCTCTTCATGATACAGCATCATTGAGCACCATACATTCCTATTGTGAATGATCTCATGCTGGAATTTTGTGGTAGACAAAAGCCTAGGCATTCCGGCATTGATGTTACCACTAAAATGATATTTTTTATTTATTAATTATTAACTACAGCTTTATTTCCTAATAAACATATTATCATGATGGTACTGAACCTTGATCCTGAGAAACCCCTCCAACTGAACCTGAAACGTCACCCCAAGTACCATGATCATTGCTTGCACCTTGCACAACATTAGATGTACCTTAAAAATAATTAAACAGTGGAAAATCTTGTTCCACTTTCCACCCGCACTTTATTCTATCCTATGATCCTGAACGTTTTCTTAAAAACTTCTCCCTCGGAGCTACTGGCTTTGAATGACTTTGCTAAGTAGCTGCCTGCACATTGAATGTGCAGCCAGCTAATTTGCATAACAATATTTTGCACTTCAAAACTTGTCATGAGCAAAGAAGCTGATAAAGGCTGCAGGCATGGTGCTAATGATTTAAAAACTGTCTTTTGAGCAGTTTCAGCCAGAAAATGGCATAACTAGCTTCAAAGGAAGTCTTTCAGCAAACTTTCTTAGAGTGAATGGATTAACAAACTAATTTAATATGCTACATATACACACTGATGAAAAATAATACATGCATCACTATATGTATTCTGTACTTGCCCTACTACTTCTCACTCCATTTAGCTCAATCCTTAGAAGCATTACATAAAATGTGAGTGCACAAGGGATTAATTCAATCTCTATTTTCCACTCTTCTCAGCTGAGTAGCACAAATTAAATTACGTGTACACTGGCCGAGTCTCAGGCTTCTGAAACTGAAAATCGTTAATAACTTTTTTTTTTAAGTGCAATGTACCAACATGGAAAAACCATGCTATCACTATTTTTACATAAATAAACGTAACATGGAGTGCTGTGACTCCCGCAGAGATAAACTTCTACTATGTAGTCACATACCAAGCTATGTTCTAGCAACACCTATATAGCAGTGGCGGATACAGTGGAGGGGCCTTGGGGGCCTGGGGCCCCCTTATTTTAAACCAAACTGAGGCCCAAAGGACCACCAAAAAAGTTTTTTGAGACCGGGCCCCCCTTATTATCTCAGGGTCTGGATGACTGACCCCATTCCACCCCCCTTTATCTCAAAGTCTGGATCCAGCACTTCATTGACAATCCCGACCAACTTTAGAAAGATTTAATATCACATTATGGAGTCTTCAGAGCATAATATTACTTTCATCTCCTCAACAATTTGCACCAACAGGCTGATTTTTAGAAACTGGACACTTTTCATCTCGTTCTTGATATGCTAACCAATCCCAAAATTTAGTTTTTGTGACATCATCACTTCTCTCCTCTATAATGTTAATGTTTTTGGCCAGGGGGCTTTTTTCATCTTTCTCCTTCTGAATATGCTAACCAATCCCATAATTTCACAGATTTAATTTGTGACATCATTACTTCTCTTCCCTATAATGTTTAACTAAACAATTAATGTACCTTGATCAAGGCAGCTTCCACCAGCTGATGTTCCATGATCATCAGCACTCTCTACTTTCTGCTCAGAACCTTCAAGAATAAAATAAACAGTGAACCAAGTGTGACTGTTGCAGGCTACTCAGTTTGGCAGAAGTAATAATATTTGATACTCTGCTCACCAGCATCAAAACTTGTGCTTGTGCCAGCTTGCCCAACTCCTCCAGATAATTGACCTTCAGCTACGTATAACAACAAGCACTCAATAACCATTAAATTTTTATACACCGTCTTGAGTGTGACCATTGTTCTATGGGATTGGTTAATTATGTTTGTAAACAACGAAATGAGTCAAATTAATGCCAAATGCAGAAAGACATTACAAAGCAGCAAATAGATACCATAAGCTGCTGAGAGAACAGTTTCTTACAACAACATTGCTAAAAAGTCTACATCACATAAGAAAGAATGTATGAAAGCTGCTAAAATTGGGTCTAGGTTTCTTACAATCAATAAAAAATGGCTACCATAAGACAAAATGACAAACAAGCCTATCATACACAACCAATAATACACAGTAAAGAAGCCCTGCCAGGGGGTGGGGGGGGGGGGGGGCCCTATGTGAGGGAGGGGGTGGCATTCCCGCCCAAAAGATTAAAAAAAATAAATGGGGATAAAACAGACGAAAGAATAAGTAAAAGAGAAAATAAAAAAAAAAAAAAACAAGAAAAAGACAAAAAAAAGAATAAAGAAAAAAAATGAGAAGAAGAAAAAAAAAAAAAAAAAAAAAAAAAAAAAAAAAAAAAAAAAAAATAAAAAAAGTATTAAATTTTGGTTTAGTATTAAAAAAAAAAAAAAAAAAAACCAAAAAAAAAAAAAAACAACAAACCCACAAACAAAAAAAAAAAAAAAACAGAGAGGAAGGGGGCGGGGGGGGGGGGGGGGGGGGGGGGGTGCCCTATCGCTCATCTGAATTTAAAAAGTCTCATGTCGGTGTTTATAAATGTTTCATGTCGGTGTCGGAAATTGAACAAAAATTCTTTGTCCTTGTCGGAATTTTAGATAAAAGGGGATAATGATGTGCTGTGAAGGAACCATTACAAGGCAATTTCTCAGTTAACATTCGGCATATCGGACATGATACATCGCCATTCACAATTCATAGGAGCTACCTGGTCCCCTGAAGTTCACTAACAAGAGATGTTCTCTGAAGCGCAAGGAAAATTGACGAACATTACTTTTTCTTGGCATTCAGACCAGTTGGTGATAAATTAGCCAAACCACCGTTCTTTGTCGCTTATTCTTGGCTTTGCCATCCCTGACGCAATTTGACTGAGGGAGGTTGTCTCTTGCCGCAATTTCATTTTACGCTCTGTCACTACTTTTTGTGTCATGTCACTTGTTGGAGTTTACCCTGGCGGGACCTCAATAAATACATACACATGTAACCTCCATTAACGTTCTATTTGTTCCAAAAAACATCCCAGCCTATCCGTGGCTTTGTGAGTTTACCTCCACACTTTCATGTCCACCCCACCCAGTACAAGAGTCCATTTTGGATTAGTTTCTCTTAAACTGTAACTACCAAATTCTTACCTCTCTTTCATAGCTTGTCTAAGAACACCTTTCAATATTGATATAATACACAAAACTGGCTATGGGAAGGTACCCCCCCCACACACACACACCCTCTTGATGTCCTTCTTTGACAAAAGTGTCAGTTTATGTGTTCATTAACAAATTCTACAGATTTAACATAATTGTCATAAAAAAAAATACAAACAAACAAGAAGAAATTTCACCCCTTGAAATCAGTGTCCAGGTTCCTCTATTAACGACCAATTACCAGTGAAAGGACACATCTAATGTTTCTGTTCAACTAATGTTGTTTGGCTAATCAATTCTCCTTTGGCTTTAATTAATATAATATTACGGTATGCACCTTTCTTTTCAATGCACATGTACGTGTATATGTTGTAGTTAATTTTTCATCTCAGGTCATTTTTGTCATTCTTTTGTTTCTGGGTTTGGCAATGTAATATGCTAATGAAGTTGAAACAAAGGAAAAATAAAAACTATGTGAGACAAAAAATCAACTACAACATATGTTTAATGAATTATATAATATAGTTAGAACATGATTGTCATAAAAAAAAACACACAGACACACAAGAACAAATTTCAGGATTACCTGAAGTTTTTGGTTTCTTTCTCCATTTTTGAAAGACATTTAAAAAACTTTCTCCTATTTGCTCCCCAAGAGTATTTACTTGCTTCTTAGGTTGACGACCTTCCATTCAGCTTAACCAAGCTTCAATTAATCATCAGAAAACATTAATATAATTTAAACTCCAAGTAAATTTTTTGCAATACTATAATCAAGCTAATGCTCAATCTCAGTTTTTTTCAAAGTTGCCTTTGAAACCTCAAAATAATCTCTAATTGGCCTCTTGAGGAATACTACTTACTTCCTTTCTAAACATGACATGTATTTAAGTTACCAGATATAACTTCAGGGCTGTGCTCAATTGTTCAAGAAGTGAGAAGTAAGAAGTTTATAATAATTATAAACAATTTTTGTATGTTCACCTGCAAGGCTTTTAGGTGATACAAGACAAAGGTATAAATATGTATTATAAAGATTTTAAGAATATATCTAACTGAAAAAGAGGGAAAAAAAATATCTAAGTTTCTGTCAAAAATTCCTTTTGACATATTACAATAAAATGTCAAAATATTAACCTACAAAACGCTCGCAGGATCAAGAAATTTCTGTAACAATATTTCCCTTAGTATTTTTTCCTTATATTAATTACTCAATTTGAGGCCTTCATCTAATTTTTTCCACAAACTGACAACTCTGTACTGAAATGATCACTGACCAGCAGATGCTTTAAATAATTACTTAGGGATATTTAATTGTTGTGAATTATGTGTTACAGAGCCAGAGACATGACCTCTAGTAACTAGCTTGGATGTTGACACATAATTATATAAATGCAAAAACAGTGTCCCTTAGATACAATTGCTACATGTATCTTACAGGTAACTGGCACAATTCTCAGAGAACTGGAGAAATATATGACCAAATATTTTTTCACTCCACTAATTATCTGGGCGGCAAAGTTCTGTGCATGTTGCAGTTTATGTATATTTATATCAGACTGCTAAAGAGGTAAAATAATTTATTGAAAATGAGCTTGTTGATTAAAATCGCTAGAAGGTCGGAATTAAAAGCGTGTTTTGCACTATTTATCTGAGCTAGTTTATAAATGCAAAAAAGCAGTGACAGCTGAGATATGGGAATCAAATGTCAAGGTATAGGATCAAATATCACCCATTAGTCCCTAACAGAGTCCATAGGTAAAAGATCCTTGCCCAGGAAATATGAAAGTTTAAAGATCAGTGGTTTACAAATCATCTGTCGACTGCTAAAAACCATGAGCTTTGACTCATCTGGGTTCAACAGGAGATAGCTCTCAAAGCATGAATCATGGATTCATTGTAGGTCATCAATGATTTTATCGTTGAAGGTGCGAGATTCCTCTACTGTAAAGGAGAGAATTTTGTTGTGTCGTCAATGTTACACGCGGTTGAGCACATTTCACTGACTGCTGGTAGGTCGTTTATGTAGCTGCTGAATAACAGGCCTAGTGAGGGCTCCAAGCACAGTACAGTACCGCTCAAAAGTAAGTTACCACCCTCTTGCAAGACGCGAATCGAGTTGCGTGCTAAACGATTTTCGTCGCGCTAAGTGATTACTGTAGCGCAGGAAACCATACGCGTAGTGCGTGATGGCCTAAAAACTGTAAGTACATTTATATCATGGCCAAAAATCTTGAGCAATTTCAAGAATCAATGGTGCTTTACCATGACTAACACGCAAACAGTTTTTCACCTCTGCGACCTGTAGACTGTTGCATATTAAAATTCACTTTGTGAAGGATCAGTATTTCCGTATTTATGTAAAACATGCTTTTCATAAAGTCGCTTTATATCCACTGCACCACATTGAAAACTACCTGAATTAAAAAACTTTGAGATGAAAGCTTTGCTTGTTTTGTGACACTCCACACACCATGCTGGTAGAGCATCAGACAGCACAGCATTAATGCAAACCACTTGAGATCTTTGGGACAAGTAGCTGTTAAACCAGGAGACTGCAGATGGGGCCAGCCCCATCTGTTTTTAGTTTTCGTGATAAAATGCTGTGATTATTGATGCTATTGAATGCTTGCTGACATATCCACATAAATACAATAGCTGTTAGTTTCTCTTGTCGACCACCTCAAGTATAGCGTTCATAGAGACAGTAAGAGAAGTTTCAGTGGAGTGCCACTTTTTTTTCGGCTCTGTTCCACCGCCAGCCATTTGTTTGTTTTAGGTAGGGTGTTAGCTGATTCAGGACCGCCTTTTTGCACAGCTCAGATAAGATAGGCAACAAAGAAATTGACCTATTGTTGCCTGGTTCTTCTAAATCACCCTCTTTCAAGTGGTGACGCTTCAGCAATCTTCCAATCTCCAGGGAATGTTGGAAATGTCCTTGAGGAAGGCATCTTTGATGTAATTCTTGAAGCTCCTCGTGGTACTGAATGTATACAGGTTTGGGACGAGGTTTCTTGAGTTGTAGAGTTGCAATAATCAGTTCATGGTCACTGATTGAGTACTGATTGAGTGTGGAATAACTTGTGTTTCCTTTATCAAGTTTGCTGCTGTTTTAGTAATAACAAGAACATGCTTACAGCTGCATTCAGTCTCGCTCTACTTGGAGATTAGATCAAGAAATGAGCAGGCAATTAATTCTACACGAAATTTCGCTAAAGGTTTTTTACTTCCTACTCTATCGACATCAATACTTTCTACTTGTTTCTGAATTGATTTAGTACACGTATTAGCGATGACCGGAAATACGTCTGTGATCGCAGGCTATAATCACAGTACAGTAGACCTTAGGATAGCTGCAACAGTACTGGTTCTTCTTGATATCGTGGTTCGTTAATATAAGCTTACTTTGGTTTTCTAATAACTTTGCATTAGCTTAAGCTCTATCTAGCCTGATGTGTGGACCTTCAGTTCAGAAAGCTGTCCAGGGACTTTGAAAGAAGCAGTCACTTAGCATTATTTTTTTCCATATACATGCTTGTATTATTCAAAGATGTTGATCTACTTTGTCTGTTCACTGACATTGAGTGCTAGATTGCTTTTCTGTAATTTGATATGCCTTAATAAGTGGAAATTAAAAATTGGCCACTATGTCATTTACTATCATAATTATTAGTTATTTATAAGAAATATTTCTAACCAAAAATTAGTATAATATATTATTAGTTATTTTATTGATGTAGAAATTATAGATATAAAAAACTAAGCATGATAGAAAGTTTTGTTTTTATTATTATCCCCCAGGAAATCAATATTGACAAATGAACAGGATTGGACATTGATGTTTCTTTGATCAGCCTTATGTGCCTTTTTTGAGTAACTTATAAATTTACATTCAAGTTCATTTTGGGACATGTGAGTCAGTTGAACTGAGTTACACCGTGTTGATATTATGAAACCAATTTCCTTTGCCAAACAGTTCTATCCAGTTTGCTTTTCACTTTTTGCCAGTTCTATATAAACCAAGTTCTTCTGAAAATACCATATAAATAAACCAACAGATCAGGCTATAAACCTGAAGTTGTTTGTGACTATAAGTATACACAACCATGCATGCAGTTGCCAGTACTTCAGACAAATTTATTGCAAGTGGAAAGTGCAAATGTAAATTTGTGTGAAAATTGATCCAAGATAGTTGATTATTAACTGAATATTTGCTTGTGACACAACATACCCAATTTGTGTGAAGTGGCATGGGAAACTCTACCCTCAAGCAGAGTTTCTCTTCCATGGCTTTTAGCGTTTACAAAGTTGTTTGCGTGGCTTGTCTGTCGGGTAGTTAGTTTGTCTATGTGTAAACAAACCTCAGCTAGCAGGGTAGTGAAATTCTATTGCCAGATCATGATCTCCGATCACTGAGGATTTGCATGTGAAAGCTCATGTAAAACCCTACGAGAAGAGTATGTGAAAATAATGCGTGAATTGCTAGCATGTGAAATTCTAGATGTTTTGCCATTCAATGAGGATTAAATACATGTGAAAACCCATCTGAAACCCCATGTGAAGTGTATTAAAATGTGTGTTAAATGAGGATTTACATGTGAAAGCCTGTGTGAAACCCCATGCGAAGTGTATGTGAAAATATGTGTGAAAGGGTTGACATCACTTCACACCCTTTTCACATATATTTCACTATGCAAAATTTCACATGTATGTGAAATATGTGTGTGAAATGCATGTGAAAAGTGTGTGAAAAACATATGAAAAGAGTGTGAAAATAGGCCATTTTTCACACGTTTTTCACATGGTGTTTCACATACATACTCTTAGTAGTGTTTCCCTATTTCAGACCAAAATCTGTGATTTTCCCAACCCTATTTCAGACCTGAAGCCCTGGAGCCGAGCATGTGACCGGAGTGCATGACAAGCTGTAGTTGGCATAAACATTAAAAGGGAAATGGTCTTATCGCCAAATGATGAAGAAGTAGCTAATTTTTCTAAAACACATACCCAATTCAAGCCTAGAGTGCACAAACCATACCCTATTTCAGACCAAAATGTTTGAAATTGATACCCTATTTCAGACCAAAATGGCTAAAAAAACATACCCTTCAGCGCGGCAAATACCTTTATAACCTATATAAGGGACTACCCCTGGGGTGAAAAACCCCGCTTATGCAAGCGAGACTAATATTGTTAATAATGGACTTGGAGAACTGAGTTATTTTTAGGCTTGTTTATAACCTGTGTGAGATTGAAGGAGTCACAGAAATCATGCAGTGCTTTTGCCTCCTTTTCCTTGGGTCAAAGCATGTTGCAATTGACATCAGCAAAATCAAAGATAGGAATATTTAATGACATTGCAGAGTTGAGTGAGGAACACAAATCATTTTTGAAACAGGACAGAGGAATGTCGGCAGTACTATAGGTCGTGCAGATAACAAATGATTTAAACTTTCGAATTTGTATCTTAAGCCAAAGCTGGTGAAAACAGTAGTCAGATTTGTATAACAACTCCTCGAGTATATCGCACTTGAAACTGTTGTTTACAAAAGCGCAAACACCTCCTCCAGGCTTATGCCAAGTTATTTAATGTCCTTCTGGCAAATATTAGAAACTGTAGCGATCTCAAAGTATACTGTAGGGAAGTTAATGCCTATCTATTAAATAACATCATAATGTAACAAAAGTAAATCGCGCACTCTGATTGGTCAGTTGGCCACTACCATTTGCCCGTGGGTGCACGCCAAGAAACTGAGCTAGCGCGGTAAAATTTAGGCAAATTCAACAAATCTCCTCTTCTGACGGTAAAATACACCGATGAAATGCACAGATGAAAAGTGGAAGTTAAAGAAAATACTAAGCTGTCGTTTTGAAGGAAAAAAGACAAAAGATCGAGCGACAAATTTGCCCTGGATGAATTAATCACTGTTTTCCTCGTGGCTAGAATTGGCTGAAGGAAAATCGAGTGAGCAAAGATTGAAGGTACGTTTTGTGTGTTTTTCATAGAAGAGAAAGTCTGTTTGAAATGTAAATTTATCAATTAGCATGGTGTTATTGACTTTTTGCTCAAACTGACGCTAAATTCAAGCAAATATTTTAGGAAACACACTCAAATTCGTGACAGCTTTGTTGTTAAGTTTTCATCACATCGATTAAAAATTTTAGTTGAGTTTAAACGGACACATTACACTGGAATAAGTGAATTTCATTTGAGTACAGAAACATTTGGGTTTTCAAATGAATTTTTCAAAAATAACTTCTGTGTGTATTATTTTGTTCCTCAGTGTTCATTCATAACAGTTGTTCAGGGAACGGTCGAAAAACAACAGCTTCAGCGCTGGCTGTGTGTCGGCAAATTTCAGGTTCAACTTTGACTTTCATAACTGGATTTCCCCAGAAAGATTTTGATACAAAGCTAGTTAATTTCTTTTTAAAATTAGTGCTACCTGTTATTCTAAAGGAATTACAGTCCAATTTTCTCATTTCTACTTTACGTTTATTTCAAAAATTGTCACATAAATAAGCTTGATAATTATTTCATTTATTTAGTTTTAGCTTATTTTTTTAGAGTCTTTTTAGTTGGTGTTTATAGTTGCAGCTATAGTTTTCCCTCAAAGTTTTTATCCTAATATTAAGAGCAAGAAGACAGATGCCATGCAGAATAACAACGAAGAACGTTTTGCAATCAGAGAACGGTTGATTCAACAAAAGAAAAACTCAAAGGTAAGTTTTTGAAAAACATAGAACATGATTTGTTTACACGTGGGCAGATAGCAGCATACATGAACTCGGACCGATGACTCAACCGAAGGCAAATGGAAAATAATGTTTTTCTCTTTTGATTATGTTATAAAAGAAATGGTAAACGTTGCAGCTGTGCAACCATGGAGTTATGGATGCACTTTAGGACATATCTATGAACCAAAAAACAAAAAGTATTAATATCAGCTTGGTATGTTAACAGCGGCTAAAGACCCGTAAGTGTTTGAGCTTAGCAAGAAAGGATTAACGGGAGTACTGAGGAGATTAGCTTGTCTGTCCTCAGGCTAGAATCGCAATGGGCTATTGCCTTGTGCGACTCTTATGCTTCTTTCGTGCTTAGCAACCTTCCGCATGCATCCATAACTCCACGGTTGCACGCTGCATGTTTACCATTTCTTAATTTGTAAATAGTTTGTAAATTGCATATAGGGTTGTATAACTATTACCAATCTTTAAAACATTTTTATTTTTTATACAATATCCTTTTATGGTCCAATACTATTGCTTTTTATATTGTAGATTTCAATTCAATTTTTTCTTGTAGTATATTATAGTTTTTCTTTTTTTTTTATATGGTAGTTTGTTAACAGGTGAAGGGCCACTAGGTGGATACACTGTTAATAAACCATTATTATATTATTATCATTATTATTATTATTATTATTATTATTATTATTATTATTATTATCATTATTATTATTATGAGTTCGGTCTGGTCTGTGCAGTGCAACTATATAAGTACTGATGTCACCCATTTTAATAGTTACACTCCAGATACCTAACCTTATATCACATTTCATTCCTGTGGCCAGATAATGACATTATATGACAATTAGACAGGCCAGCATCCGACCACAGTGTAATCGCTGTTGCCCTTACACTATGGTTAGTGTAGATCTTTGACAGGTTGGCCGCTTTGCTGAGAATTTTCATCATATCTCCAAGCTTGTTTACCCCAAGGCATTGATTCTCAAACCACACTCCTTCTTGTGGTCTCTTCCAAGAACGCTTCGGATATTGAAAGAAAGCGCTGCATTCAGGATTTAGCTTCTCCAAATAAAGAGGAAGGGCATTATGTCCGTCGTTTGGATGCTCTGTTTGGTACATTCTGTGGAGCTTTTCAAAGCTTACGGTGTTGTCGCTCAAACCTCCTTGATGATTTTTACTTGCCTCGTCGTGCGCCATTGTTGCGTAGCGCTTTCCATTTTCATCTTGGAGAAAATCAAAGCTGCTTTTCTTCAGGTTCCTTTGCCCTTCACGTCCTGGACAGCAGAAGTAAAGGGTTATGTGGAACCACACATTGTTCAGGAGACCCTGAGGCATAAGGGGCTCATAACAGCGCTCTCTTTCAGATCTTCGTTCTCAATACAAAGTTTGTGCTTTATGCTTTCCTCTCCCTGTTGCTTCATATTTTTTAGCTTAGCATCAAACATTCGATTTGACTGCTGGAAAGCAGGGTCAGTGGCAATATGTATGCCTTTCTTGAAGAGCGGGTTGTTTAAAAACCTCTCTATGCCATTTCGGAAACCAAGCAACGTACTCCTGCTGTAATTCAGTGCTCAAAACTAACGATTGTTCACTCGTCTAAAACGAGTAACATTAGCCAAAACACGAGTAGAAATTTAAGTTAGTCGTTCTCATGGACGAGTGGAAGTTTTAGCCTGTGGATCTTGGTTTCACATTTGTTAAATCAGCATGTAATATTATAAAATTGTTCTTTCAATCATGCTGTTTGCGCTCATAATTTCCGCATTTACAATCGCCATTTTGAAAACAGTGAGGGAATGGGCCGGGTTTGGTTCTCAGTCCACTCTCAGTCGACTCCACTGCAAATTGAACGTCATGCGCACGTCATGCAACTCCGATAAACGTCATGAAAGTGGCGTCACGCTGAGACTTTGTTGTGCTATTTCAAAAGGGGCAGGGAAGATGAAGAAAGGAAAGATTAAGAAAACGCTAATACAGGTGATTCCCAGCCAACGAGAGTGAAAAAGGCAAAGAAGGATAGAGACTTCAAACCAGCTTGGAAAAAGATTTTGTGTGGTTTATAGTTTAAAATGAAACCAAAGGGAAAATGTTTTGCCAGTATTGTATAAATTTTCCAAACAGTAAAAACAAAAATTCGTCTTTCTGCAAAGGAAGCAATAAATAATTTCTTATAGCCAAACAAACTCAAGATAAAATATTATACTTTTCATTAGTTTTTGTTAATATAATTTAAAAAGTGAGTCATGCTTTACTATGGTTTTTAATGTGTGAATTACATGTTTGTGGCCAGATGATGGATGGTAGACAGGACTAGTAGAATTGCCTTCAGGACTAGTAGATGCCACCCACTACTAGTCCCAGGACAACTGACTAAAAAAGTTAGTTTCGAGCACTGTAATTTCCACCGTCTTTGTTCCTAGCTTCGGCATAAAAGAGTCGCAGGTTGTTGTTCAACTCCTCTTTGGTTTTTCCGCCAATATTTTCGGCAATGCCTTGCGCTGAAGCCCATTCTGAATGAAGAAAGACTAAAAAATATCAACACGACGTAGGTGTTGAAGGAGTATTTATTTTTATTAAAAAAATTAACACTTATCTTTTTTTATTGATGTATTGTTTTTGCATATGCATAGAGGAAAGTTTTATTTGTTACATTTTAATGAGTGGCATGAATATAAACTTATGTGTTAATTACAAAATATTTGTATTTCACAGAAGTATTTTTACTGAGAAATTACCTTTGAAAACTGACACAGCATAGTTTGTGGCATACTTTGTAAACTTCGTTCGTGCTCCCTTGACGAGGTCATCCAGCTCATCATCGTTCAGTTGTGCAAATCTTGCTTCTTCAGTCTTCTGCCGTTTTGGTTTCAAATATTCATCAAGGCCCAAATTGAAATTTGGGAAAACTTCGTTCAT